CGCCTCCGCGCCCATGGACGCGCCGCGCGGGCGCCGGGGATGCGGTAGGCGCGCGCGCGCGCGAGGACCGTCAGAAGGGGGCGGGTCAGAGGGGGGTCCCTTGGCGGCGTCCGAAGGGGGGTGGCGCGAGGAGGCGCAGACATGGACGAGGGCGCGTGGATCAGCGAGGGGTCGCTCGCTCGGCGTCTGGCGCCCACGCGCCAGGTCCACGGTTCCCCCGGTCCACGTCAGTGTGCGTGCCCGGGCAGAGGGTCGGCGCGAGGGGGGCGGCCTTCTGGAAGGCATGGGGGCGCGAGGGCGGCTCGAGGGTGGCGCGCGCGGGGGAAGGTGGATGGGGGCTTTCTCCGAGGGCCCCGAAGGCTTCCGAGATGGCTCCCCAGATCCTGGACTCGACAGCCAGGACGCTGACATCAGGAACGGTTTGGGTTCGAAAGGGGCTCGCTGTTCCTTAGGTCCTTCCATGGCTGTTTCGCTAGCGATCCTCGTCCACGCGCAGGCGCCTGTGGGGCCAACACGAGGCTTCCTTCCTTATAAGCCCCCCTGCCTTCTCAGCAGCCCTTCCGCTTTCTCAGACGTCCACCCCCTTTGCGCCGTCTCCTCGTGGGTACCGCCAATGGCCCCGCCCCTTCGCGGCGGCGGGGTCACGGCCTCGGCACACGGCGGGGGGTGGGCGAGACGGCAGTGCTCGGCGGCGGCGCGACGCGAGTCAGCCTCCTGCTCTATTCCTCGCCTGCTTCTTCCTACTCTTTCCCCTTCCCCTTCCCCTTCCTCGCGCCCTCTTCCACTCCGTCTCCCCGCATCCCCTCGAAGAACAGTACTTGTCGGAGGTCCACCACTACCATAGATTGGAGAGGGAGCAGGAGGAGGAGGAGGAGGAGGAGGAGGAGGAGGAGGAGGAGGAGGGTTAGGAGGAGGTGGAGGACCACTGTAGCCTAGTAGTCCCCCTGGTGTGTAGGGACCAGGACTGTTCGGGGGGGCGCGCGCGGAGGATCAGTGTAAACCCAAGAGCCATCAACGATGTTAGAATACACCCTCCCTCCAAGCTCCCTCGTCATAGGCCCCTGCAACGGTTGATTTCCATTGAGGGGTCTGCCTCGTTGGAAGACAACCGTTCGAAGATCAGGAAGCATGCCAAAACATTGTTCTCGGGATTCCCACACCACGGATCAACCTGATTGTTGCGTCTTGACGACCCTGAATCGTACCAGAATGCAATTCTTGGGATTTCAGCACCACGAATCAACATAACTGTTGCACCCGCAAAATCCAGAATCATTCCACAACGCCACTTCTTGTACGTTGATCGTGGGAATCCGTGAAATTCTTGCAAATTTTATGAGCGAGTGCGCGCGGCGCTAAGGTGAGAACCACATTTTGAAAGGCAACCGCCCTCAATCCGTGCAGCTCTTGCAATTTTTAGAACGAATGTGCGCGGCGCCAAGGCGAGTGCCCAATTTTGACAAAAGGGTTATCCTCAATCCGTGAAGCTCTTGCAATGCTTTAGGCGGCGCTAAGGCGAGAGCCACATTTTGAAAACGGGTTATCCTCAATCCGTGAAGCTCTTGCAATTTGTTAGAACGAATGTGCGCGGCGCTAAGGCGAGAGTTACGGTTTGAAAACGGATTACCCCCAATCAGTGAAACTTTTGGAAAGCTGTAAAACGAACGTGCACGGCGCGAAGGCGAGAGCCACATTTTGAAAGCCACCCGCCCTTCATCTGTGCAGCTGCCAAGTGTTAAGCTTCAGAGTCATAATCGGTGAGGAAGTCTCAGGGCAAGCGCCGGGCCCGCCCTAACAGCAGGCCTCGGGGTGCGACAGGGATAAGTTATGTAAAAGGGAAAGGCATGGAGGAAGAGGAGGAGGAGGCGGAGGAGCGGGAGGAGGAAGGAGGGAGGAGGAGGAGGACGAGAACGGGAGGAGGAGAAAGGGAGAATGAGGAGGAGGAGGAGGAG